TATTATAATATGCTCTACAATTGTCTTGTATTGAGCACTCTTTATTCTGAAAAACGGGAAATTACTTTATGAAATTATTGAAAAGCACCTGGAGACAGTTGTGCACTCTTCGTAACAAGAATAAATTACGATTCGCAAAATGAATAAGATACGGTTTAACTACTCGCTAAAGAACATTGGATTGCCGACGCAGAATCAGTACCGAAGAACATTAATACAAAAAGTGGAAAGTATCACGCAAAGAATGAGATGGAAAGCCCATTTTTTCTTAAATGGCGAGACAAGAAGTGAAAAGAACTATTACGGACTACCTTCAAACAATAATGCACCACCACTGAGTGAATTAAAAACCTTTGAAGACGACCTTGTGAAGCTGGTTCAGAACGTAACTTTTCGAAACATCAACGAACCATTCCTCAACAACATAAAAAATGATTTAAAAAATATGAATTCTTCAAAGAACGTGTACGTATTTGCAGACAAAACAAAGAACATCTACGAAGTTCCACCAACCGAATATAACAAATTATTTTTTATCAGTGAAAATGAAGCAATCTGATTGGCTGAGGAGCCCTTCAGAGCGGGCCGGTTTTTTGCATCCGGCCCGCTCTGAAACGCAACTGCCCGCTGTGAAATGCAACTGCCCGCTCTGGTTTTCGCGGCAAAAACTGAGGAGTGAAACAATTTTTAAACGAAAAAATCTGCCAAAAACGTTTGAAAAACATAGCCTAACGATAGTCAGAATACAAAAATGAATTGCACCAAGCCCTAAAGGCTTCATACTAAGCACGATGTTCACGAGAATTGGAAATACTTTGATTGAAATGCGACTGAAAGTCGGAAAGTAGTTGACATGTATAAAAATTACGTCGAGGAAACTATATATTTTTTAAATGCTCATGTATTCGGCCACTTAAAAGCGAAAAAATTACAGCTTAAACAGATATTGTAAAATAAATGTTTTCCCATTTAAAAGAAGGTTTAACTGCAGCAGTGAAAACAACTCACGAATATATTCTCTACCCATTTGTGTCATGTATTTTTCGCTGATATAAATATTGTAAACAAAGTAAAAGTTTGTGTTTAAAAACACTTTTTTCAAGCATGTTATCGTGAAACGACAAGAAAAATACAAAAATATAAAAATAACATACCTTTTTCATTGTCTTTTTAGTAGAAAAACGTTAATTAAATTAAATCAAAGCAGATTCATTTTTACATGTTTTTGATCGGATCTGAACATGAACCTGTCGTTGTCAGGAGCAACTTGTCAAAGCCAAAGCCAAAACGCCAGCAATAAAAAGATTTTATTCCAAAGCTTCTCTCAGTTCTCTGCTACCATATTCATGAAAAAGCATGTACATTTTTACTGAAACTATACGTCTTTTTGTGTGTTTCTTGCCAGTTTTCTCGAGTTTTCGTATTCGTGTTTTATATCTTTTAACTTTTCAATTTTTGTCAGCCTCGCTTTGAAAATACACAACTGCACTGATCTGAAATTAGTTCGCAAGCAACACTGGAATTTTAATCAATTTAATTTTTACATCTGATAAAAAATAAACACGTTATTTCCCGGCAGCGTCGGTCCGGATGAGAAAAACTGTGCCCTCGGTCTTGAAAACGTCCCTCGCCCTTCGGGCTCGGGCCGTTTTCAAGACCTCGGGCACAGTTTTTCTCATCCGGACCTCGCAGCCGGTAAATAACATATATATATTAACTGAGAACATAACGAAATCTTATAAACTAGCACATGACCGGATAACAGACGATATTAACCAGAAACTGTGCGAAATTTCTTCCAACTTGAATATTGGTAACCGAGTCCACGTAATGGCCGAAACTGAAGCTTTCATTACGTTGAAAGACCATAAGGACAACTTCGAATCGAACCCCAAATGCCGATTAATCAACCCAGCCAAAAGCGAACTCGGAAAAGTAAGCAAAGTTATACTGGATTCCATCAATCAAGAAATCAGATCAACCACCAAAGCAAACCAATGGAGAAATTCCCAATCTGTAATCAACTGGTTCAAAGACATCGAACACAAATCTCAGTATAACTTTGTTTCTTTTGATATCGTCGACTACTACCCTTCCATCAGTGAAGAACTCCTCGATAAAGCCATCGCTTGGGCCAAAACTATTGTTAATATTACTGACGAACATGTTTCAATCATCAAACACGCCCGCAGATCCGTTTTATTCAATTCCACCAAACCATGGATAAAACGAAACAGTCCTACAACATTTGACGTCACCATGGGGAGCTTTGACGGTGCGGAAATTTGCGAACTTGTTGGTTTGTATGCATTAAACAAACTAAGCGCGAGATTTGACAGCAATAACATCGGATTGTACAGAGATGACGGATTAACCCTGATCAAAGGTACCAGTCCACGACTAGCAGATAAAGCAAGAAAAGACCTGTGTTCTGCATTCCAGGAATTGGGACTGAAGATCACTGCCGAGGTAAACTACAAAACTGTTAACTTCCTCGATGTTACGCTTAATCTTACTAATGAGTCATACAAGCCCTACAGAAAACCAAATAACGACCCACTGTACATTCACAAAGAATCCAACCATCCTTCATCAATCACCAAACAACTCCCAGCAGCAATCAACCGCAGAATCGCGTCATTATCATCCGACAAAAAAACCTTTGATTCTGTTGCTTCCACTTACGACTACGCCCTGAAGCAGAGTAATTACAACACCAAACTTCAATACTCAGCTGCTGAAACAACGTCTACAACCGAAAGTCGATCGCAAAACGAGAAACATAAACGCACAAGAAGAATTATCTGGTTCAACCCGCCGTATAGTAAAAACGTACGAACCAATGTCGCCCAAGATTTCTTGAAATTAATCGACAAACATTTTCCCAAAACATCACCCCTTCATAAGATCTTCAACCGAAACACGATCAAAGTTAGCTATAGCTGTATGAATAATGTAAAGAGCGTCATATCGAGACATAACAAACGCGTATTGAGAGAATCTAAATCCGAAGAATCTACCAACGATAACAACATTGAAAAACTTTGTAACTGCAGAAATGTAAACGAATGCCCACTTAACAACATGTGCTTGACGAAAGATTTAGTTTATCAAGCCGAGGTAAAAACGAAAGACAACAACGATATAAAAACCTACATTGGTATGACAGCGACGACATTTAAGGAAAGATACAGAAATCACAAGAAATCATTCAATGACATTAAATACGAGAATGAAACTGAACTTTCTAAACATGTTTGGAAACTAAAACTAAATAGAAAACAATTTAATATCAAGTGGTCCATCTTATCCCGAGCAAGTTCAATCAAAGCCGGTGGAAATAGTTGCAATTTATGTTTAGAAGAGAAATTGCAAATACTCCGTAGTTATAATTCTCGGTCTAATTTAAATAAACATAGCGAAATTTTCATGAAATGCGTGCATGCGCGCAGATTCCACGCGGGACGATTCAAACGAACACGCGTCAGCAAACATTGCGAGTAGTAAAACGTAACAACTTAACCGTATTAATATGTTGCCTGATGATTGCTTGTTGCATGAAACTTAAAGTAGCAACTTATTCAATTGAAAAATTGTATTAAAATATTAAATTATTATATGCTCTAGAATTGTCTTGTATTGAGCACTCTTTATTCTTAAAAACGGGAAATATATATATATATATATATGGATCTTAATGCCACTGCATGTATTAACATGAGAGGAATAATGATATTAATTTGATGTTGTATTTTCTTTGCTGGAAAGCCCCATGACACCTAATTAAACTGGTCGCATGCCATTGTTCTTATGAAATGTCAATTCAATGTCAAAAGTTTTATTGAAATATTTCGAGGGTTAATCAGCGAGTTTTTGAAAACAAGGCATCACCGTACTGTGACTTATTCTCACATTAAAATCCGGTTGCGCCGAAACGATACAGTCGCTTGTACCCGGCGAGCGAGCGAGAAAATGAACTCATTTTGCATAATCTGACCGATTGTTCACATGCTTTGGGACGTGTTTCCTGAGGGCACAAAGAAGATACAACACGCAAAGAAAATACAACATTATGTAAATCTGAGTTAGTCCTAATAGACAGAAGGCATCCAAAACATAAACTACACAGAATACAATTTTACTCTGCAGCTATCTTGAACAGGAAGATCACACTCACTCCTAATTGTTATGGTGATGAATTGTCGCGTCCGTTCAAGTTAACAGGACAGTAAACCATATATATATCCGTATCAAAGGGGTTAATCGATTAGATTTCAGGCTACACCACTCGCTATTTCGGTTTTTTCTTTCTCCGACCATGGATCCTTCTATATTTTACACTATGAACAAATAATCGTCAAACAAAAACTACAAACTCACGTACCAATCCCCAGAGAATTCGTTCATTATATTCTATTCGAAAGTTTCGGTCCATTTCATTCCGATCTGCACGTCACGATCGTTCTAATTAATGATAATTTCTTCCCGCTTGTTAATTTCAATTCTCATGAACTGAACATTCGATTGAAACCGCTCGTTCAATTCAGATGACCACATCTATACGTGGGCTCAGTGCGATTAGATTAGCGAGAGCAAAGCACAATGAAACGCTCGTGACATGGTGATTAAATTTTAAATCTTCAATCCCTGCCCTTCGTGTACGAATGTTTCTCTTCGATCTTCATCCCAATACGACGAGACCATTGCGAACAAGAGTGCAATAAACAGTACAGCCGACACTAATATTGCAATCAAACTAACAAGTTCCTAAATAAAGCCGCTTTTTAACCGAACTTATTATATTTGATTCAACAGCACTTTTTCTAAACCAAGCATTTTTTAAACTAGCTCATAATATACATAAAACTTCACAGCCTTTGAAAGAAATGCTGACGCATCAATATTCATTCCTAACTCTGTAACTCCAGGAGATATATTTGCGTCAATTTATGTTTTTTCTTGAACTCGAATTTTATATGCAATTTTGCTCTGTCATGCATAGGTTGCCGGTATCGTGGCATTCTACATTGTGACAAAAGGTGAACATCCCTTTGGCGATAAACCAGACCGACTTCGTAACTTACTGCATGGTAACCCAATTGGCTTATCTATGCTGAAAGATTCTGTCTTGAAAGATTTATTATCCTGGATGCTAAGCGATGATCCCAAAGATAGACCTTCAGCTAAAGAGGCGTTAAAACACCCTTACCTTCAGCCAGCGAAGCAGCAGTTTGACATGCTGTGCAAAGTGGGAAACCAGCCTGAGATCAAGACACATGATATCAAATCTGATGTCGTGCGAAAGTTTAATATCGATCCCAAAAATTGGACATCTCTGGTGAGACCCGATGTTCTGACGTATTTGTCCACCGATCCTTTGAAGGGGAAAAAATTTCATTATAACTCGTCGTGGACGGGCTGTTTACGACTGATCCGAAATATCAATGAACACTGGCATGACCGTCCAAGGCCGCGACCAGAAATATTCTACATAGTAGGCGATCCCCAAGAGTACTTCCTTAACCTATTCCCCAATCTTCCTGTCGAGGCGCACAAAATTATCAGGTCATGTAATTGGAAAGAACGCGTTGAACTGAAGGAGTACTTCATATAAGATACAATATGTGGCTTGTCTGCGCGTAAACTAGTCTGAGAAGTTCTTTCAGACGGGATAAAAACACTGATCTGAAAGCTAGGACTGGATAGTGCATCTAACATCTAATTTACTGTGGTAGCGTTGACTACAGTAGTATAACATGTACAGGTTGCAACAATTTCTGTTTACTGCTGAGAAAGGAGATTTTGTAGATAGATATTGGCCAGCAGTGATCTTTCTTCTTAAAATTGAAGTATAATAACTAATGGTCACATAATATGGCGCCATGAGCGTCACTAGTATTTAAAACGTTATAAAACTCATTAGAGAAGGAGTAGACAGCTACTGTATATCTTTCAAGTCACATTGCTTAATAATATAACTGATTTGAACACGTAATATTTCGTAAAGGTTATTACAATTTTAAAAATAGGTACGCAATGCGTACATGTGGCTAGCCTGGTAAACTTTAACTCCCCAAACCCTCCTCCAAACCCAGAAAGCCTGCCATGCTGGTTAACTTTAATAGTAATAAGAAGACACACCACGATGGTCAGAATGCGCAAATTTTCTCCCACTTGTGCGGGCTCATTTTGTCAGTGGAGTTTCACGGTATACTTGAAAAATACCGTGCCATATCTCGTCGCTTCCCATGTAAATAGCGAATTTATGAATAACACTTGAATAAACACAAATATGTGAATTTGCACGCTAGGCTTTTGAATATAACGATTGTAAAAGTTTCCGTGTGATCTATTAGCAATTTAAAAGATACCTAAACTGTAATACTGCCATATATTTAATCTCGCGTTTGTTATTTGCGCAGCAGCAGTTTTGCCGTGGAATTAAAATTGCGTGTCATATGATATTTTTAATAGTCAAATAGCGTTTGAGATATAGCAACATTAGCAAACAAATACACTGAAATCTTGGTTAGCACACCAACTTTTACCACTTTTAATGCAAAATATTACTAAACTGTAATACTGCCATATATATTTAATCTCGCGTTTGTTATTTGCGCAGCAGCAGTTTTGCCGTGGGATTAAAATTGCGTGTCATATGATATTTTAATAGGCAAATAGCGTGTGAGATATAGGCCTAGCAATATCAGCAAACAAATACACTGAAATCTTGGTTAGCACGCCAACTTTTACCACTTTTAATGCAATATTAGTCAACTTATAAGAGAACGTGAGACAAATCATGCTGAATTATTCGACTATATAACTCCTAAGGCAGACAGACGCAATAATCCTTTATAGGTTTATTACAAATATGTAGACATTTGAGATGCCGTCAATGTCTGAAGAAAAGGTATACTTAAAGCCTTTAAATAAACGAGTTCTATGCACAGTGCTCAATAAATGTTCAATAAATAAAATAAATGTTCAACAGTTTCTGGTCTTTTACCATAATTATCCAAATGCTGGTTTTATTCGCTGCATTATAAACCTCCTCCACACAATACCCCTTCTTTAAAATACCAAACATTTCAAATGCAATTGAGATATGAAATCTCAACAAGAAGACAATTCAAGATGGCAAAACAGTCAAAAGTGCAAATTAAAACCCATATTTACACGGCGAGTACGCGCAATTTCTGATCGGTTTCGACACCATAGGTTGAAGCCATGAAGATAAACTTTATTTTAATTTTCTGGTTTAACAACCTCATTAGTACTGCGTCGTAACAACATCACTAGTATTGCCTCGAAATGCAAATGTGAAATGTCGGCAGAAAAATACGAGCGCTTCCGATACTTTACGAAAATCCGGACTGGACACCATGATCATCATCGCTCATCGGGTTTGTGTATGTGTATGTGATAGTGGCTAGCCCGCAAACGGGCTAGCCACAAAAATTTCCCCCAAGTTTCAAAATTGCCTCATTGAATTGAAAAAAATGCTTTATCCAATACTAGTTTTCAGATCAGAGATAATAGACAAGATACATACCATTAACTTAGTATATTACTAATAATCCTAATAATAATCCATGATATTAATCCTGTTATATTGAAGATAAATTCCAGCTTAAATCACGCATGCGTGTTGTGAACTGTTTGCCTGGCGGAGTCACTGAATATTTATTTGCATATATACCTACACTAGAAATACATGCATGGAGTAATCCCCTGCCTATCTTATCCAAACAGTGATTTAACATGAAGTATTCATAATTGGGTAACATTGAACGCAGGCTCGCGTTGCGGTGTCATGTGTTGCCATGACAACACGATAATTTTAAATTTTAATTTTTTTATATTTTTTTTGTACAAAACGGCACACTACTTTAAAAAGACTACTACTTTTAACTATGCAACAATGAATTTCTGAAATATGTACTGTGGGTATGTTATTTTGCATTTTATGAGTGTTCACGAGACTATAAAACTTTCGATTGAAAAACGACGAAAACAGCTATAAAAACTCAACTCTTTATTTTACAATATCCATGCTCGAATACGAAAAACACTGTCTTGGCTACGCCCCTAA